GCGATAAATTGGAGAAATTTTGGTAAGATTTTGAATAATATCTTCATTAAATTTGGAAAAATAAAATAGCCTTCACTAAATCTGAAATTGACAAACGTCACAAGAAAATAGAAATATCCATTTTGCGGGAAAAAAATTTAAACTCCCTTTAATTCATTTTCTATTAAGCCGTTGGCGAATTAATTAGACACCTTACTTTAGGTCGAATTCTTTATCTCAAAGCATGACATTTTCCTTCCACCAATGAGAATTAGATCGAACTTTTAGGTCATAGTTGATCAAACTTCAAGTCGACATTCGAGGTTATCTCTGATTTGGTCGACCTATTTGATATCATCCTAATCGAGCTTGATAGGTTAGCCATTAGGATGAGCTTAATAGCTCGATCATTCCCAACAGTCTACCATGTTGACATCATATTAAAAATGAAATTAACTTTAATAATGATGCTTAAGTTTATATTATCAATAAACATAGATTTCATCTCAAAATCAATTGACAATGAGATGAGTGGTTCATAACTATTATACTTAACATGAGATTTTTAGATTTGAACGTACGATCTTTTAATAAGAGATTGGTACATTAACCAATTGAGTTAGGTACAATTGGCAATCTATATCTATGTTAGTATGTAAATAATGAAATAAAATGAGAAAAAAAAACTTAGATGCATGCTTACTACCTTGAATTTACCACTATTAAAAATTTGATTCGGTAATAATTATAAGATACTTATTTACCTGTAAATACCTCACTTTTATCCATAAATTTATTTGTAATAACTAATAGGCACACTCCACATATACATATAAACTTATTAATATTTCTTGGATAATAGTTATTTTTTAAAAATATTATAATTTAAACAATTGCTCCAATTCAACAATAGAGGTCTAGTAATTGAAAAGCCCTCTGAAATAGACATAGTATTAAACATAAGGATTATAGGTCAATAATGTCCCAAAATCTCACTAAAAAAAATAGCGACACTGCTCTGATATCAATTGAAATGATCTAATTATCCAAGTTATTTAATGATTTTATGGATGATAACGATGAATGTAAAATTTACTTTTCTATTGTATAAATAAAAATTAATTTGACTTGAAAAAATGCTAAAAATATGCAAAGCTAAAAAGGTAGATGAACACACGACGTTTTTAACGTGGTTCGGTTTCACAACCTACCCCACGAGGCCACGCCCAGAGATTTAAAATAGATTATCAAAAGATTAGTACACAATACATATTGTTTTATGCATAAATTTAAAAGAACTCTCTTCTTTATTTTTATGCCGCAATCCCTTGCTCCAATCTCTTTGACGATCTACGTTCACAAGCTCCCCTTGTGTCAGATTCAGTGTGTTCAACAATCGTTTATGACGTTCGCCGTTTTCAATCGAAGTACTTTCTCAATATATATAACTAAAAGAGAACAAATAATCCGTTTTCGGTTTTCACCAACAAAGGATCAAGCAGTAAGAATGACACAGTTGGATCAATCAATAAGTAAGAAAAATACTGTAGTATGTATCCTTTGTGTAAACTACCTTTCAATATTTAAAGAATAAAATCACTCACCATGTTATGGAAGATATTCAATTTATCAATCAAAATTAAGACTAGCCAAATCAAAGGCAATGAGATAAGGAAAACAATCAATCCCTCAAATCTCTCAATCAAATATATCACAAATTTCAAATAAATCCATTAGACAAAATTACCAAAAACGAATAATTGATGCTTAAGGAAATTATGAAAGAAATCCAAAAATAATGCCAACAAATAAAACATTAATAAAACAATTGGTACGTTAATCAGCGTAAAATGCGGAAAAATCATGCTTATACAAACTACATGACATACTAAGAAAATAGCCAAGTCACTCACCTCATATGTTCTTGTCAGTCTTCAAAAAAACGTTTAGGAAATGGTGAGTATTATTAAAAATGTTCAGCAAGTAATCTCGCTAGCGTAAATACACATATATAATATAAATCATGATAACTTAAACATGTGAAACTTACCCCTCTTTATCATTCAAAATCTTTCCTTTTTGGCCAATGTATGGTTAATTAATCTATCTTTGTATAATTTGTATCAAAATCCTAGTGGTGTATAAGCAGATTTCCTACAAGACTTTACCTAACTAATGATAGTTGGCACCCAATCAGCAAAGTAAGCTGTTTCACTCAACAAAAGACCTCAATCTAGTTAGAATGTACCTACAATTATTTGATTATCAACTTGCGGTTGGTTGCTTAGGCATGTTCGTAAGACCTGTTTGAGTATATCAACATAATAAGCGAGGACAATTGCTACATGTTTTCAGTAAAACATGATTACATTCATACACATGCATGACGTCCATAAATAAACATTTTTTTTCATTATACGATGCAACATAGCAGTCACACGTAACAACTACAACGATTAAACAACACCAACGATTCCACCTTCATCATAAATAAACATTAAACAAGTTTCAAGCATAGTCCTAAATCAATTTCTAAAAATTTAACCAAAATAATGACACTAAAATTTAGTTAAAGAGAAAAGTCACCTTTGTTT